TCTTTATCCTGATAATCTCCACTTTCTGCTATATTTTCTTACTCACATATTTAACAACTCAATCGTAATTATCACTTCGAGTATTCGTTCATTACTTTGCGAGCCTCGAGTTAGTTTAAATTTAGTGAAGAAAAAAACTTTTGACTTATAATGATTCTTCTTTGTTCTTGCCTTGCAATCAGGTCACACACATTCTTTATGTAGGGTGCTCTCTGTTTTCTCCTTTCTTTTCTTGCTCATGCCCTGTAAGTATTAACTTCTATAGGGGCTCTTTACTAATTATATGTTCCTATTTTCTTCAAGCATCCCTTATTGTTTACATGTTCTGTTCATGGTATTCTCTGTATTCGTCGGTAGGACCACATTTATATCGCTTTAAGTCCATTATTCATCCGTAAATAGTTTGTCTAGAATTAACTGCCATATAAGAAAGTTCAGCACTCTTTTTTATCTTTCTAATGACATGTTCATAATTCTTAATACTTTGGTCAGATCTCGAATACCTTTTTTCGCTATTTCGATACGTTGACTGGTTTCTGTGCCACACTAAACCTTTATATTTCTGCAGCCACTTTATTTGGATACATGCAATACGAAGAGAAAACATTAGGCTATCTCTTGCTGAAAATCTTGCACTCTGTTTTCTTAGAGTCAGTAGTTAGTCCTTCTTTCTAGCCTTCCATTATTACCTTATCTACTGGTCTATTATCTAACAAAATGACATCAGCGTATCTTGTTTTTAAGATTATATCAACCTACAAATATATTGGTTTTGTTCTTACTCTCTTACCATGGACTGGAATGAGGTTAATTAATATTGTTGCATGGGAAACCTTCCACAGTTTGTTACAAGGCTTAATCCAGTGAGAATCGAACTTACTACTTATGCCCAACCAAACTTGTTCTCTATCATTCCTCTCTGATGACGAGAAGATTAGTCAGTGCTGATTAGACATTTAACACGTCTTCCACGTTGTGATTTAGATTAACAAATCGAATGTTCTCCGTTCGAAACAGTTACAAATCAATACTTGAATACTGATTTTACTATTGAGGATGTTTTTACACGCAGACTATTGTCCGTATTTTTGTTATTGTTATTATGCTTCGGCTGTTGTAACATCATCAGTTGATTGAACTCTTTATTCAATCCATGATAGCAGATTTTATTTTCTTTCTGCTCAATATGTACATTGATATCTTGTCTTTTTCTTATTTAGTACTACCCATTTACAGCTTGCCCCGTTTCCACTGAATCCAAGTAAACAATACCAAACCCAGGGTTTGAACTCACAATTACTCTATCACCAAATTAACGGACCGACGCTGTAATGCACAAGGCTAATCCCGAGGATTAAGTAAACCGTTCAGATCGAAATTCTCTGAAGGCTACCTGGATCGACAATCACCTGATGATGGTGGGAGGACAAACATTTTTGGGACAATAGTCCAAGTGTATTGAGTGTAACAGCAAAATTGTTCGAATCGTGTAACAGCAAAATTGTCCAATTGTTCGATAAATGTTTGAACCGTTGTACGTTAAACATGATTAAAGATATTTTACTGGAATTCTTCGAGACTTTTATATCATTAATGGACTCTACTTTGAACAATAAGAATGTATTCAGCTGAAATAAATGATCCCTCTTGCTGGTGTGATCTCCTGATCTAATTCTCCTCCATGTTACTCCCTCATTTTAAAACTTATTCACCGTTCTCTTGATAATTCTTGAATGATCTTCTTCCTATCACCATTGCTCAGTTGAAAAGATATAGTGGGGCTGGCACAAAACGATTTTAACCTTTTCTCCTTCTGTTTGAATAACGCAAAGGGTATTTGAGTGATTCTTAAGACAAATTATGTCAAGATGGCTAAACGTCTTACCTGAAAACCTGGAAAAAGAAACTCAATAGTTTAGTGTTTTTTTAGATATTAAACATTTCGTGAAATAGACAATTATCCCAGGCTGTTACAGGATTTGGAAACCCGGTTTATATTGTGCAATAATTGAGACTTTTCCAGTATTAAAATCAATTCTAAATTCTGAGTTTTATCTGATTGTTGTATGCTTGTCTTCTTCTTTAACCGTTGTACATTCAGGAGGTGGGCGATCATGGCTTTCCACAATTTCCTGTCCTCTTTAGATCTTAGTAAAGTTTGTCTTTATGTTGTCTCTCCTAATCCCTGTTCTCCTAACAATTTACACATGCTCGTTAGGCAGGCTATGGTCTGTTTTCCTCCGCCCCTCTTGCCTGCAATATGTCCTGTGGGTGTAAATGTCCTCGTTCTTAATCATATGCCCTAGAAAATTAAATTGTCTCTTTCTGAAGTTAACTATATGTGTCCTCATTTTCTCTAAAACTTTATTATTGCTCACATGTTCAGTCCATGGTATTCTCAGCATCTTTCTGTAAAAAGACAAATCTGTTACCGCAAGGCTTTTCTTCATCTCTGATGAGAGTCTGCACAAGTTACGTTGATTGTTATCTGTGAATATTCATGAAATGAATTCGTGGGGGAAACAACGGGGTGGTTTTGTCTACGTTAACTAGCCCTAAATTCTACAGAGCCCAATTTAGACCACTATTCAACCGATTTAAAGAAGATAAATCTATGCCTTAAGAAAGGACTTTTCTGTGACAATAAACGCTCCAGTTTAGACGAGAATTTGAATCGATTACGCTATCCACACAATTGATCTACTTCTTTCAGGATTTGAACGATCATGGCTCTCCATAACCTCGTAATCTTTTATAGCTCTCAGTAATTTTGTTCTTTTTGTTATCACCACCAATCACAATACTGATAGCCATTTATCCAAGTTCGTTAGATAGGTTAGATATACTGTTTGTCTTCAAACTTCTGAAATTCTGTCTTGTGAGTGTAACATTTTCTTTTACTCATTATGTGCCCTTGAAATCTCTACTGTCGCTTTCCGATTCGTATTATAAGTAACCTTGTTAACATTTTCTCTAAAACTTTTCTTTGTTCACACTTTCAGACCATCAGTATTCTTTTGCAGAACAATATCCCTGTTGCTTCAAGTCTCTACTTTATTTGCCATATAGTAGGGCCGTTAATATTTAAAAGTTTATTATACTTTTTTTTCTAATTAGACTTCCCTATTTCTAAATACATAGCTTTAACTTTTGGAAAGTATTTTTCGCTAATTCAATAAGCATTTGGTTTTGGTATAACATTTTTTGCCTTCTGCATTGTATATCTGTCTATGTCTCTGTGAAGATGTATTATGATAACTTGCATTATATATCTTTCTATCTCTCGGAAGAGGTATTATTACTACTTGCATTATATATCTGGCCGTGCGTCTTGAAATGTACCTCCAATCGTTTGTTAATTGGGGCAAGAATTGGCTGGTCAACTTTAACGCCTCAAAAACTAAACTACTCTCTATTAATCACCATAGACATTCTTCCCTGCCCCCCCTATTAGAATGTCTGATAATCAACTTCTTGAGAGCAACATCCTGCGTCTCCTCGGTCTCACGTTGACTGCTGACCTGAGATGGAACAAATACATTGAGTCAATTGCTTCGTCCACCGCGAGTAAATTTGGCTCTCTTTGCCGCGCCAGGAAATTTTTCTCCCCGGAATCGATACTTCAAATATACAAATCAACAATTCGCCCTATATGGTCTGGGACACCTTCTGTTTACCTCGGAGTTCTTGACAAGATCCAGAGACGGATATGTAATATAATTGGCCCTGATCTGGCGTCTCGTCTACAGTCACTCTCTCACAGACGCACCCGTCGCCTCTCTCTGTCTTTTCTACAAATACTTTCATGGTAATTGCTCCGATGAGCTGCTTTCACTGATTCCCAGACTCCATGAATTCAAGCGCCCTACGAGGCTGGCATCCCGCTCCCACCCTTACACTGTAGAAACTTTTAAATGTAGCCGTCTCTTCTACTCCAATAGCTTCATACCTCGCACATCTCGCCTGTGGAACCCCCTTCCCTATTAGTTTCCCTGAGAGCTATAATCTCCAACTATTCAAATGTAATGTCAATCGACACCTCCAGTTACCTTGATCTATCTACTATCCCTCTCCTCATCCTTTCTTCTATCACTCCTATCTGCTCTTGCTCCAAATCTTCTGCAACCCCCTGCATCCTAGTGGCTTCACGCCTTGCTCGGGGCGTAAAGCTTAAAAAAAAATCTGCCTATATCTCTTGGAAGAGCTATTATGATTACTTGCTTTATATGTATGTCTATATCTCAGAAGAGGTATTATGATTACTTGCTTTATATATATATGTCTATATCTCTCAGAAGAGGTATTATGATTACTTGCTTTATATATATATGTCTATATTTCTCAGAAGAGGTATTATGATTACTTGCATTGTTTACATTATTCGGACTGTTATTCTCATCTTTCTTGCCATATTCCCAACCTCTCCGGCTTTCTTCATGTAATTGGAATTTCGTACCGAATCCTTTTTTTTTGTCCACCGGTTCATTGTTCTAGTTCCGTGTGCTATTCCTCTTCCGGATGTCTCAGTTACTTCCCTTTAACTAAACTCTCGAAATTTTGGTTCACCATTGCTGTGGCTTTGGATCGAGTCACTGGATCTAAACAACGTCTTTATCCACAGGGCCATGTGCCCTTGAGGATATCTGTGTAGGAATGTTTGGGACTTATAAAACCTTATTATATATATTTTCATTTTTGTTTTTGCTTGATTTTGGTATCTACAGTTCCTATCTTGGACTGATCAGTATGATGGCAACCATACATTCTGTTTTCTTACAATTGATGATTAGTCCTTTCTTCTCGCTCTCCTTTGCTACTTTACAGTTCTTGCTGTTACTTTCTATGTCCGTTATTATAGAATGTTTATTAAAAACTCATGATTACAAAACCACAACATTGTGTGCTTCTTCGCAACCGGATATCATGAATAAATGTTACTAATTTAATATATCCTGATAGCTTACGTCCAAGCAATATTAACAAAAAAATCTTTTAAAACCATGGTCAAGAACACCTTGTAAGAATCAGTAAGTAATTCGAAAAATACTTCAGAATTTTCTGGGTTCCTTCTTTTTTCCCAAAGGCAGATAGCATGAGTATATTTCATTTTCTTCGCTGTCAGTACATTGTCGAGTCTGTAAAATTTGAAACCCAAATCAGTACTGATACCAATATTCACAAATAATATCAGGAAAGCTAAAACATATTGTAAATTATATCCAGTGTTTTCATGTAAATTTAAAAAAAAAAATCTTTTCTCAAGTGATATGCTTAAATTTTTTTACGTCTTTTTTAATTTATTTACTCGCAAAGTTATTTTTTCTAATTTAATCTTCTTTGTATTTTTCAGGAATATGGCGTTTTTTTTTCTTCTTTTCCTTTGTGTGGATTTAATTATCGATTTGGTTTTAACTTACTTTGTCTGGTACAAGGTCACAAATGTTGGATATACTGTAAAGATTAAACCCACCAGGAAAGATTTTAACCATTCTAATGCGATGCGGCACACTCCCAATTAATTATCTTTTTACTTTACTCGGAGTTTTTTTTCTTTTTTTGTCAGATTATTTCTTATTTTGACTTCTAATCTTTCTTTCTTTCTTTCTTTCTTTCTTTCTTTCTTTCTTGTTTGCTTGCTTTCTTTTTTATATTGTTTCAATCTCTAGCATTCTCCCCGCTTATTCTTTCTTTAGTTTTCATATCTGCATTTTGAGGAGTTTTCTTCCTTTCTTTCAATTATTTTCTCTCTTTCTTCCTTCCTTTCTTTCTCAACTTTTCATTTACTCTTCCCTTCAACGATTTACTCTCTTTTTTTCCTTTCTTTATTTCTCTCTCAGTTTTTAATTGTTATTACTTCAAAATTTATTTATTTTTTGCACTTATTTTAATTAGATTCTTTCTTTCTTTCTTTCTTTCTTTCTTTCTTTCTTTCTTTCTTTCTTCCAACTTTACTTTCTTTGTTCGTTCTTTTCTTTTGTTTCTCCAGTTTTTTTAATCGTCCTTCCAGCGATTTCGTCTCTTTCTGTCTTTTATCTTTTTTTATTTTTTTCATTTCCGTTTTTATTTATCCCTTCTTTGTTTATTTGTTTGTTTGTTTGATTGTTTGTTTGTTTGTTTGTTTGTTTGTTTGTTTCTTTCTTTCTTTCTTTCTTTCTTTCAACGTTTTTCTCTCTTTCTTTCTCCCTTCCTTTATTTCATCGGTTTTATTTTCTTCTTCGTTCAAACGATTTTCTTTAATTCTTTCTTTCTCTATTTTTGATTTATTTCTTTTTTTTTTCCTGTTTGTTTCCCTTCTCCCGTCAGAAATTTCTTTTTTCATTGCCATGTTTTAATTAATTTAATCCTCCTTTATTTTGCTTTCTTTCTATTTGTGTCCACATTTTATTATGTATTTTCTCTAGTTACTTTATTGTCTACATTAACCTCAACATCTGTCATTTCTCTAAGTAATATTTTGCGTCTTTCTAAATTTTCTTCATTTTTTACTCAGTTTTCTTTCTTTCTTTCTTTCTTGTGCGCATATTTTGTGCGCATATTCTTTCTTACTTCCTTTACTTATTCTCATATCTACTTTGATATTATTCACCAATAAATCAACATAAATTCTAAAAACAACATTCCCCTATTCTTTATTAATTTGACTGCTTCTGAAACAACTTCCTATTCTTCAATTCTCCGACCCAGTAAAAACTTACAATTCCCATCGGGTAACTGTTAAACATAAAATACTTAATAAGCAGTCATTTCTTTTGAGTGTCCATTTTTTTTTCTTTTTTCGTCAAACATTTAAAGAAAATATTAAAGAATGTATTCAGGAGAAGAAAAATAAATTCAAATTATTATCGAAGTTGAGATACGTATAAAATAAGAACAGTTCCTGTAACTCTGCTTCCGAAAAGTGTACCTACGACATAAAATATATGTGTGAGTGATTATGTATTTGCGAGCAATGTTTTCTATTTATCTTATTTTTTTTGTTTCTTTCTCTCTTTCACTCACTCTCCCCACCCTCTCTCTCACCACACATATTTATATGTGTTGGTTTAAAAATCTGGGATGTCAAATTTGTATTCCTTTACGAACAAACATACGTATCTACATGTGTAATATGTAACATGGAATATATGAAAATTCATGGAATACTTAAAGTCTTTATTCTATTGAATTAAAAATAAATATTTGTGACTTTGTAAATGTCTGTGAATTCTCAATGAAATTATGTGTATAGGAAGATGTTAAGTATGATGTAAGAAATGTTAAATGTGATTGATGTGAGAAATATTAAATGTGATTGGATGTAAAGAATGTTAAATGTGAGTGGATGTAAGGAATGTTGAATATGATTGGATTTAAAGAATGTTAAATGTGATGGAATGTAAGGAATATTAAAGATGATTTGATGTAAAAAATGTTAAATGTGATGCGAGTAAGAAATGTTAAATGTGATGGGATGTAAGAAATGTTAAATGTGATTGGCTTTAAAGAATGTTAAATGTGATGGAATGTAAGGAATGTTAAATTTGATTGGATGTAAGAAATGTTAAATATGATTGGATATAAGAAATGTTAAATGTGATGGGACGTAAGAAATGTTAAATGTGATGGGATATAAGGAATACTGAATGGGATTGGATATAAGAATTGTTAAATGTGATGGGATGTAAGGAATGCTGAATGTGATGGAGCGTAAGGAATGTTAAATATGATTGATGTAAGGAATGTTAAATGTGATAGGATGTCAGCAATGTTAAATGGGATTGGATGCAAGGAATGTTAAATGTATTTGGCTGTAATAAATGGTAAATACGATAGTATTTAAGAAATGGTAATTGTGATTGGATGTCAGAAATATTAAATATGATTGAATTTATGGAAAGCTAGATGCAACTAGATGTAATGAATGCTGTGATTGGATTTAAGGAATATCAAATGTGATCGGATGTCAGGAATGTTACATGGGATTGAATGTATGTGATCTTAAATGTGATTGGATGTAAGAAATTTTAAACGTGATTTCCTCAATTCCCTCATTTCCAACAATCTCTCTTTTCCTTGCTGCACGTTTCACCTCCTGATAATTTTCATCTACTGGTAATTTTATAAAGGATTTTGAGAGGAAACGAATTTTTCCTCTCAAAATTCTTTATAAAATTATCAGTGACATTAGTCAGTTGTCGCTCTCGCTTAAAAAATGCTTCCAGTTTTTCAGTCAATCTCTGCTTTCAAAATAATTTGGTAAACAGTTAGTGTAACGCTGGTATGAAAAAAAAAACAGACATGGGATAGTATGTAGAGTTAATGGTAAGTGGCACCAAGGTACATTGATGCCAGGGAAATAACAAAACCTATAAAAATTACGCATTTACATGAATCAGAGTGAACAGTTACTATGCTTCCTGCAATAAAACGGCGGGAAATAGCGGATTTAGAACGGGATATGATAATAAGTGCCGGATAACTAAGATATTTTATTTCTTAAATTTGGAGGATATCTGGCATCCTTCGATCTAAAGTGATATGTCTGTATCGGGAATTCCTACTGAAAAACATTAGCACCCATTGCCACGATCGACGATGAATCATTAATTATAATGTCCGGATTTACCAGTGGTAAGAGATAAGCGATACTGGTTTAAATCTGGGTACTGCACGCATATTAAACATATTTGTTCATCAGTTTCATCAGAAGTGAACATGGTATCAGATTATGCAGCGTTGTTAACACCACGACCCCGAACACAGAGCCTCAGCTGTGAGCGTAACGTCATTAATTGGACCCTAGAGGACTAACATCATGTGGAGTGGTCCGATTTTATTTGATTCATTCTGATACGAGTCTTCACGTTTGTCGCATACCCCAACTTCAGTTGTAAAAAGGTCACCATGAACTGCCATTATGCACTTTCATAATGAGAAAGGTTCTGTTACGTTATTTCAAAAGGATAATACACCCGGCCATCGACCCAGTATTGCGTGTAATTTGGTTCGTGGAGCAATCTAGAGATTTCGATGAATGTTATGGCCAGCAGATTCTCCCGGCATTAGAACAAATGAATATTTATTGAACGTGATTGAGAGGTCTGTTTTACGCATGACCCTGTATCTTTAAATAATCAGGAAGAAGGAAAGAGTTATCGAAACGGCATCTTTCAATATCTCTCCAAATCATTCGTGTAAGATGCACTGACGGAATACCGTACTTGACTGGAATCTCTCTTTCTCTTTCTCTCTTTCTCTCTCTCCTTTCTCTCTGTCTCTCTCCCCTTTCTCAATATATATATATATATATATATATATATATATATATATATATATATATATCTATCTATCTATCTATCTATATATATATATATATATATATATATATATATATATATATAGTATTGCATATCGAATGCTAGTGCTAATAAAATAGTGGTCGATGTCTGATAACAGATATATACAATATAACTTTTCCTTCTATCGGTGAGGAAAAAAGTATATTATATATGTGTGTGTGTATGTATGTGTGTGTGTGTGTGCATAAGTATACACAACACGCATGGACTTAATGTTGACCTCAGTGTCCACTTTTATATTTGCATGCTTTCTATCACTCATATTGAGCACGTTTATCGATACATAGACCTTAAAACTATAGTTTTCTCATTCACACACACACATATATATATATATATATATTAATGCATCCACCCCAAGCAAGGTGATAATGCTACTAAAACCCAAGCTGCTACTGAGAGGGAAAAAAGAGTGAGAAATCCCAAACAGTAAGCAAAGAATAAAGCTCTGTTCCTGTTCAAAGACGGAGGAAGAGATCAAAATAGACGATAGATTAATCTAGGCATCTCCACTATTTCGGCATAAATTTTCTATATTTAAGTTTAAAATGAATTTTTTACAACGAAAAAACATTTTTGAAGATTTCATTTTAGCTTTAATTGAAAGTTTAATAATTAAATTTATTATTTCTATTAATTAAACAATTCTGGTGTATTTAAGATAGAAACTATATACATTTGATTGTCAAATTTAATTTCAAATTTTTTAATTTTCTTAAAAGCGGCCATTTTCTTAATTTTAAGAAATTTGTAAACAAACAAATTTATCGATTTTGAAAATATTTAAAAAATTTCTGACACGTTGTTTTAGTAAAATTTAAAAAATTAAAGTTAAAGTAATCTGATTTGAAAGAAATCTTTCTTACTTATAGCATAAAAAAATAATATACAACCAATTATTAACGAGCGGTTCTGTTCATCTGATCAAACTATTGATGGATTGTTGAATGATGAACCGATGACAGCTACTACTGATGACCATAAATGACATAATTTTTAAGTCTGAGTTTTTTAAAAAAATATTCTTTTTGAGTATGAAACACACTAATGGAAATACAATACATAAAATTAAATTATTTAGTGAAATAGTAAATGAAAAAAAGAAAAATTACTTTAAAATTTAAAGTTTACACTTTTGAAGCTGAACGGAAAATACAACCTGTAAGAAACGAAAAGTTATGAAACGGCCACGTAAAGGGACAAAACCCTTAGATCACGTGACCTTGTTATAATAATGGCAATTTCTGCATATCATACATGGAAATAAGGAATGTATTAAGTAAAAAAATACAACATAAAAAATTATTTTTAAAAAGAGTAGCGCAACTAAATTTATTAAACTTAGCAATTTTGGACTCGTAATTTTTTTTCCACTTAATTACTACATCACCTCGAGGAACCCTCCTAATACAGAGCTTTACACGATTTTAAACTATTATAAATTATTACAATTAAAATTTCTTAAAAAACGAAAAAATTCTTGTAAAAATTAATTATTCATCAGAAAAAAATTATTTCTTCAGACAATAATGTCCTTAATACTACTTATTTACAAAAGCAATTAAAAGCTTTTCTAATTAAGTAATATCATAGTTTTATTGGATTCATTATTTTCAATTCAGAGCAGATTTTCAGTTAGATAGCTCAAATTTGAAAAAAAAAAGTAAGTTCGAAGACTCCTACTTTTAACAAAAAAAAAAAAAAAAAAAATTCAGGAACCAAAAGGTTTTGGGCGAAATTTCATTAAATTAAGTAAATGTGGGGGTAACATATTTAAAAAAATATATTTTTTACCAAAATTTTCTAAAAAAAAATATTTCAAAAATAATTTCATTCATTTGTGAATAAGTCCTGAAAATTTCATTAAAATTGGACAATTACTTGATTTTTACAAGAATTTCAAAATCCATATGTTTTCAACGGAAAAAAATCGCAAAAAAATATGTTATTTTCTGTGAAGCCGCGATGACGTAAACAAAAGAAGAATTTAACCAAAATTTCGAACGTGTTAGAAAGGATTAAATAATTCCAAAAAATAATTAAAAAATACTTTGGTCATCTTAATAATAACACTTTATTTTTGTTAAGTTTGTGGCATTTTCATTACGCTATATGCTGTTTTCCCGCGAAAACAGTGAACATGCTTAGCTAAATCTATCTATTCCTATATGTGTGTGTGTGTGTGTGTGTGTGTGTGTGTTAATGTGCGTGCGTATGCCTGTGTTTGTGCGTGCGTGCGTTCGTGCGTGCAGATGCTCATATGTTTTTGTGCGTACGTGTGTCTGTGAGCGTGAGCATTGGTCAATTCGATGTAGTGAAACAGCAAACTCTTTGTTCAATGAGGACTCAGTAATGAGCTCGAGGGTCAATGGGTGCTCCATTGTGCAGAAGGTGAGTTACGTGTAAGCCACGCTTAGTAGACCATTATACAGACACACACGCGCACACAACACTTGACGATGGGATTTAGGTCAACTGTTTCACATGCAAACTTTACATCTCTATCTCTTTCTCTCGCTAATATCCTCCTAGAAACCATGATATGACTACCTTGATACCGTGATAAAAATAACAAGTGTCCGATATTGAAGTAGCATTGAAAGCTGAAGGACTGATGTCAGTGAATTCACGAATCATAACAGAATCATAGGTCTGTACATATCCAGTCTTTATTATTTGTAAATTGCCATGAATTGCTAAGAAATACACAAATCTGTTTTCTGTTGCCTTCTTTCCTCGGGTTTGAATTCGGAGTAGTTCTTCTAATATACTCGTTGCCGCCCGAAGCACAGACCGATGCGACATTTTCCCATAGCTGGAAGGGATAGTAGCAATGGATTCGTGACTTTCCTAAGGCCTTATATCAGTCAGTTATGTGCCGTGCGTGATACACGCTTTCTCTCTATACATGATTGACGATGTTTTTCTCGGATTAGGTTGCCATCTTTATCTGCAGCAGACCAGTTGCCATCCAAGGCTATAGAACCCGGTCTGTCCTGTTACTTACCCATAGCTGAGGAGGGGAAGAAGAAGAGGATTCATACCTTTCCGAAGGGTATTATTAGCACGTACTTGAATGTAATGGATTCGAACGGAATTCGAACTCTGCTCGCCGATTCCTCAATCCGAGCCGCTATCAATTACTCCACAAAATGTAATCAATAAACTCGACTCTCTCTCTTTTCACTTTGCCTATTATTACGTTATCTAAATATGTTAGCAGACATAAAAATGAAAATGATGCGAATCACATACTCTTTAAACGGCATCAGTTGGTTCGGGGTCTGCCTTCGCATTGTCACTGGGCACACGATATAAAATTTACCTGCACTCCCATCGTTATGTCCCTGCTAGTAATTGCCGCAGGCACAAGTTGTACAATACACTCTTATCAGAATGCAAATAAAGGATGTGGGTTTGATTCTGTAGGTTATCCCATTTCATTCCACCAAAAGCGATCGCCAGGGGGCGCTCTTTATGTCTGTAAAAAACAAACATTTTCTAACTTTCTCTTTTTAACTCTTGCTTCCAGATGTAGTCGAACGTAGAACGAAACCATTGCTGACGAGTCACATTCGCTTCTTTGGTTCTCTGTTGACTTTTGAACTCTTGCACACACGCACATCGACACACGTGTCTATCACACACAAGCACATTCTCATAGCTAGCGTCGATGTCTTTTCCTTTCATTTATATTGCGTACCCATGAAATTCCTTTTGTTAATAACATGCATTGTCGTTTGTTTTTTATTCATTTATTTGTGTTACGTATTTTTACCCGGTCCCATATGTGTCCGTCAATATTGTTTGCAGGATAAATGTCCTAGGATCCCATAAATATTTAATATCTATACATATCAAAACCAATGTGGTCAGATCGGCAACATAATGTCAATTGATTTTTATTAGAACACTATAAACCCTGCGATAAATGGTGATCCCGACGCGATGGTTTCTCGAGGATACGAAAAGACAATAATATAAGCTAATACGATTCTGCATTATTTAGGCTCTCTTTAAAACCGAAAGACTTTGTAGGAAAAAATTCGGCCAACTTTTTTAATCTACCGTACACCGTGGGGACAAAAAATATTCTAACAAACCTCAACTATACCAAGAGCCCGACGCAGTCATCTTAGCAAAGAATCCTCAGAGTTTAAAAATACAAGGAATATCTTTCTTCTGCTATTCCGAATCTCCCAAACCCGTCTCGTTTCAGCCAGGTTTCTCCGTTTCCAGTATTTCTACAAATATGCTGCTGGTGTGTGTTACTCGATAATACTCTTCTGTTTCAAGCAAATAGACAAAGGAAAAACTCTATACTAGTATATCTAATTTGCAATGATTTCCATAGGGGCAAAAGCAACCGACGCTATTCTGTCGTAGTCAAGATACATTATTTTTGTTAAAAACGTTAACCCCATAATTGCTCAGCATTCCGCACAATGGAAGTCATGTCTGAAAAATAATTTATCGAGTCAAACAATTTAAGAATAAATGTATTTGTATAAAGTTCCTAGAATTTTAAATGTCACATTTATGGCACCTTGGATACTGGTTGACCCTTACAACTATATTGATTTATATCCTGACTGTGTTTTCCTTACGCAATCTGACATAAAATAATCCAAAATGGTTTGACATTGCATAAAATCATCCTGTATAGTAATTTTATGTTCAGGTCGATATACCGCAAAACATAACGGTAAGAGTGTTTTCATGTGCTTTCTAAATTCACAGTGAGATATCTAAATTATATTAATACATTAATGGGACATTAATCAATAATTACTTATAGGCATAATTCTATAATTAATAATGGGTTTTTAGAAGCTTACAATTAATCTCGTACATTTTAAAACATAGTTAGTACGAGGTTTTTATTTTATTTTATAATTAATCTATACGTTTGTAGTAGTCTACCTTGACAAGTATTATAGGTTTCATTAGTAGGTTAGTTTGATGAACCAACTTAAATGCGTCATGTGAATGTCAAATTCTCTAATCCCGTTTCCTCTTTATATTTTCAAGACATCTCCACTATACATTTATGATTTTACGTTTCCTTAAATCTTCATTGCATTAAATTTCCGCTACATGGCACCATTCACTGCCATATCGAAGGACCGATATTACATAAAAAAAATATCAGTACTAATTCCTTTATTTTCGTCAAACGACTGTAATCTTACGGATATACAGTTGTTAGCATGCTAATCACAAAGGGATGAATTCTACAACGAATCGCCACCAGAATATGTTCAAAATCATCCTGCTTTCTTTCTTTCTTACTTTCTTTCTTTCTATGTGCCGTGTCTTTTCCGAACGTAGGCGATCATGGCTCTCCACTTTCTCCTATACTTTATAGCTCTCAATAAGTTTCGTACCTCTGTCAACTCCCAGTCCACGTTCACATCCACTTGCTTAAAGCTACCAGGTATGTCACGCGTTGATTTCTCTTATCTCTCTTTCCCTCTATTCGGCCCGTGAGTATCAGATTCTCCAGGCCCTTCTTTCCTCATTATGTTTCCCAGAAACTTCAGTTGCTGCTTCCTGATATTAAGTATAAGCCCCCCCTCAAACCTCTCTAACACTTCATCGTGGCTCACACGCTCAGGTCATGATATACTTAGCATCCTTCTGTACAACCACATCTCTGTCACCTTGAGTCTCTTCTTCATCTTTGAGAAAATCATCCAACATACACTGCCGTAAAGAAGGCCTGATTTCACGTAACAGCTCGGTTTTGTTTTCTTCGTTACCAAAGAAATCCTCTTGTCTCGCAACACTCTGCCCAGCTTTTTGCAATGGCTGCTTGTCCATTCTCTCTCTCACTGTACTGTCTTTCTCTCTGTCTCTGTCTCTCTCTGTCTGTCTGTCTTTTTTTCTCTCTCTCTCTGTACTCTCTCAATTTCACCAAACTTGTGATCCACGTAAGATTACGTTATGGTAAGGTTCAACCTGATATTATTGTGCGAACTACGTATTTATAAATATAAATATATATACACAAGTTTGCATACATATCATTTGCAGATGTTAATTGTGGTTTGGTTTGAATTTATTTAAAATGCAGCTAGTGAACCGACTGTTGTTGATTATCAATGATAAAAGACTCTCCCCACTTAGTAGATTAGCGCAATATACTCTTTCCATTATTTCATCGGGCATTGTATCGCTGTAAACAATGCTGAGTAAATACTTATTTACAGTGGCATATATCTATGTGATCAACAATATCAGATATTAAATAAGAAATGAAAAAAATATTTTAAATAAAGCAAAAAAAATAAAAGAGGAAAATTCTCTTGACGCGTTGTAAGCAACATTGAAAAACTATATTTCGGGAAAAGAAACAAATTTCCAATATCATTTTATCGTTTTTCTTTTTTCTTTTTTTCTTTTTTTTTTTCAATGATCGAAATGGATTCAATATTTGAAAGACTTTCTTTATCAGATCGATTCGTGGGCTGAAGCAAAGAATTTTGGCACCTGAGATTAAAGTATTCAAAATTCATATATCAAGCCAAGAATCTATCTATCTATCTATCTATCTATCTATCTTAGTATCTTCATTATCTATCTATCTATCTATCTATCTATCTATCTTAGTCTCTTCATTATCTATCTATCTATCTATCTATCTATCTATCTATCTTAGTCTCTTCTATCCTATCTATCTATCTATCTATATCTACCTATCATCTATCTTATCTATCTATCTATCTATCTATCTATCTATCTATCTATCTATCTCTTCTTATCTATCATTATCTTCTATCTATCTATCTATCTATCTATCTATCTATCTATCTATCTATCTATCTATCAAGAGGATAATTTCTCGAAACACTACTCTTAACTAGTCCAAATGTTATCTTGCGCAAATATCTGCCTAAACTTTGAACCTTACTAATATATATATATATATATATATATATATATATATATATATATATATATATATATATATATATATAGAGAGAGAGAGAGAGAGAGAGATAGAGATAGATATACATATATTTTCGGCATATGTGTGTGTGTGTATGCTAATAGTTACCTAGATAAATTTAGATATATAAGTGTCTATATTTTGAAACGCAAGTTATCTATAAAGAAAAAAAATATACAAATTAAATCCTAAAACATTTAACTTCAATATTTGACAAGGAAATGCTTATTATATTGTTAGTTTAATTTTGTCTTTTTGGGAATTTCTCACTAGCTCGGTTGGTAAATTTGAAATTCAACATAAAAAAAATGATATTTTAAAATATTAATAAAGTAACCAACACGAGTTGTAAGGTAAATAAACGATTTTTAACTGAATATATATTTCCAATAATTCTAGTCCCTTATGAGATGTGCGTTTGATTGGATTGAAGCAGACGATTGATAACAATGCTTTGACGTAGGACGTGCCAGTATAACCGACTCTATGATGAAAAAAAGATTAAGTTATCATTAATTACAAATCATTATTAGAGAAATATTATTTCATCTGTCTTTCTTTTATCTTCATCCTTGTCTAAGCATGCATATATCGTCTGAAGTTTAGTTGTTTTAGTTTGTAATATAATTACCATTTGAAAGATTTTTCTCGCTCATAGAATGTAAAATCGTTTGATATATTGATTGAAATTGTCTTTTCATTCTATTGATAGAAATGAAACAAAAAGAAAGCCATACTGTGTAGCTCCTTATTTAATCTCGTTTTACTCAGTGCTTTCATTTTCTTTATTTTCCAAATAAATATCTTTTCTTACGTTTTATTTATCATTACATTTCTGTTTCTAATTCCTTTTCCTCACTGAGGTTAACACCGATGGATCTATAAATTTCCTTGGAAAGAAATGAAATTCATTAGTCTATTTCGTAAACCTTTGCGTAATAAGTAATAAATCAATCTGTAATGAGAAGTTCGCCATCTTGTATTTCTGTAGCAGCCGATTTTCTAAGTTACGATGTGGGTGTTTTCACCAATATTCGTTATGACATAATAGTGGGAAATAATTTAAATTACTGTCAAATGTTATATTAGAGAAAAATTGTTTCAACAAACCGTCTTGAATGCCGTTAATTTTCAATTTTACTCCGAGCTGCCAAACATTTGAATATTGCAAAGGATGGTTACTCTTCATGTCCGACATTTTGCATATGTTTATGGAATTGTTTTACTGCATTCTGTTACAAAGGCAAACATTCAAGAACAAAGGGCTTCCTCGGATTCGGATTTAAATTTTTGACGGTCGCAGATAATTGCTCTTTTTTTTTACTGTTTTTTTTAATGTACATCAAATGAATATGCAAGCAGTGAAATTATTAGACGCTCAGAATAAGAAATCGACGACCATAGTTCAAAATCTAGTCGATATAATTATATTCACTTTTCTCACAAATACTCTTGGGTAAGGTATGGATTCATCTCTTCTACGCCAACCCGTCTGTAGCAGGACACACTGGATACTGAAGCTTAGGGTTACTGGCATAGGAGAAGGACGACTCTGAGTTCAAAACCGTATGTGGCCTTTGAACTGTAACTAAATTTGGCTCAGCATAGTTGCTGTATAAACCACAAGTGTGGATTTTTAAGAAATCCAAATAAAGACTGAACAGATGCACATGATCAGAAATGAGCAACCATGCTAAGGAGGAGATGTGACACTGATCTACTGTAAGACTAAATTTGAACCAGCTCTGATGGAATCAACAAAATAACAAGAGAAAAAAAAGAAAATATTCATGTTTTGGAAAAAATAACATTATGAAGGAACAATAAAAGAAGAGGAATCAAGAAGAGAGTGGATAAGAATTGACTTTTCATTTACATTTTGAAGATCAATAATGGTTGGAAAGCAGGAAGCAAGTGCCATAGGCAAGAAGTGTGAGAAAAGAAATTGTTAGTAAAATAAAATTACGGTTACATATAGCCAATTTAACCCCGCGGGAAAGCACAATGGCTCACTCTACTGAAGGTTAGTATCAACCATACTACTGGAAGAAAAATAAGTTCTCTATGACGATTAAAAGAGAGCAGTTTGAGAGGCGTTAAAGTTAAGAAGTCATTCCTTGCCCCAGTTAACAACAGATTGAAATTCTATTTTGAGATCAGCTGCCAATTTGAACTCATTAATTCGAACAGACTTACCATTAAGACAGGAGTAAATGATTGTGCCATCATCATAGATACCGAAAATTGATCGTTGCTGACAATTAGGAACAGCGTAGGTCCAAGAATAGAATCCTGGGTTACACCAGTATTAACGCAAAAATGCCTTTGACTGATAAATAAACGATCAGAATTCAACTCAAAATGTAGACATGAAAATAAATTTTTACTTCGTTACTTAAAAATAGAAAACTGAAAAGAATAAATAAAAATAGATAAAATAAAAATGAATAAGTAAAAACAAGTAAAATAAATTAATCCAAATAAATAAAGTAAATAATAAACAAATTAACAATCCATTCCCGCCAAGATATCCGTGAGAATAGACTACCCACAATGCAAATAACTACCTACAATGCACCACTGACCCCTACATAAATATACTCGAGAAAAAACAAAACGCATGTGACCCAACGATTGCATTTAGCAGGAAACAGTCTGTCGCCTCTGCGTGTTGATTTAAATGTTCACTATAAATAAATTTGTATGCATGTGTGTGTGCGTGCGCATAACGAATTAATGGGTTTATTTTTAATATGACATTTTTACTACTTAAAACGCTATTATGGTGGATACACGTATTTGAAATAAACGCTCCATTTTATTTTTACTTGAAACAGGGTATCTTACGCCTATCGACAATGCAGTGACAAGGTGACCGAACTAAACCGCGAGATTATCACTGTAAGCATCCAATAAATCAAGAAAAGTTCAAGAGACGTGTATGGTCGAAACCCTTGAGTCGGTCACCCAGGTAAGTCGCCTGAACTTTTCTTGACTTATTAAATGTTATAGGGTTAGTTATCTATTGAGTGTTTTTTTTTTTTTTTGGTAAAAGTCTGCCGGCTTAAAAATTCGACGTCTGCTAGACTCTTTTTTGCTATTGCATTAATATCATTATTATCATCATTATTATTTTTGCATTTTTTCACTCCACTCGTCAGAAGACGTAGAAAAAGATCCGGATAAGATTAACATACACACGTATTTAATCAAAATAACTGATTTCTTCTCATCTTTCCGAGAAGGAGCGTAAATCTCTGACGAAATGAGCATAATATATTATATATGTGTATCTGAAGGAATGCGTCTTCAATGATGAATAATAATTCTTGCTCTGTGGAAAGTGGCTATGTCCTGGTAAAACTACGATTTCGCTTCGTTCTTGGAATATAAACGTGGAGCTTAATTGTGCTGTTAATTTTTCCAATTTACTGTTACGGTTTTCGAAAGAATATTTAATGATAAAGAAACTAACAGTAGAATCCAATGACACTGCTCTCTTCATTTGATGTCCCCGTCTACGATGCAGTGTCTGGAGACTCACTCATGACTAAAACCTGCAATTCTGCTTATTCATATTCACATTCAAATTATCTTTTATGAGGACCTGCTTTATGAGAAATGGTCATTTGTCAAGAAACCACTGACGGAAATTACATCTTTTCAGAAACGAAAGTAATTATCGTTCAAATGCACATATTGGGAAAGTTTACGCTTCAAACCACTTGGAAAGATCAGTTTGCTTTGACAAACGATGACCAGACTCGACTGGACATTTTTTTTTTGTGATTGTAATGGCAATGGCGACAAATGTTCATTATGTACGCCGAACAGTCAAAAGTACATTGTTCCAAGAATCTGCATGAAAATTGTCTATGGAAAACTGTCTGCCCTTTAATATCTGAAGATGACTGAATACAGTGCTTCATGACGTCAGTTCTTGTTTGAAATTCCAACCTATGCTATTTTAGAAAATTTCAATAGTATCCTGGAAAGCATTAATTATGTCAATCAGAAAGATTGCAAATGTGTCAGATACGATATCAGATATCACTACGCTGTATATATTGTAGATATATATTGTAGATCATAATTCGACGCTACAGGTTTAATTATAGTGATCTACTGAACGTAGCTTAGAAGTGGCATAAGGCCGCAATTAAAGACAACGCAGTGAGAATCGAACTAACTAAACAGTCATTATGATGAGACAAGCTTGTTAACCATTATATCACGTCACGTTTGATTGGGAGCTTAATACTCTTTTCCAGACCCCAATATACACCCTTGTGCAAATTAATTGAAACAAAAAGAAAAATTCTGTTATTATTTTTTTCATATTTTTCAATTAAACATAACCCATTGCACATGTTAGTACTTCGTGTCTCGATTCTACAAAGTCCTTGCAGACTGACCACAGATTTTCGATTGGATTTAAATCCGGAGTGTTTCCGGGCCAATCTATGATACATTGATTTTCTCACTAGTAAGGCTTTCCATTGTGTTCTTGCAGCGTTACAATTTTCGTACGCTTCCTTGGAGTAACGTTGATTGCAGACAATGACCGTAGGACAACTAATCGACAGTCGAAACAATATTGTCTGGACGTGATAAAACTCTGACACAATCGTGGATGACGCAATATTTTTCAAGGCCAAACAAATTTCATCATACATTGCGCAAATAGATTCGTATTACTGTACACCACTGCAAATGACCTGATATGACGAAAAAATAAGTCGATTACACCCTGTCAGTCCAGTGGGTCTAAAACTGGTCGTATGTTGAAAGGAAAGAAACTAAAGTGGCTGTTTCAATTAATTACTAAAAGGGTATATATGAGAATAATATTTTAAAAAAGAAAAGAAAACGGTTGAATCAAAACGTTTCATCATTTAAAATAGATAAATACTG